GAGTCTCACAATAATTGGTGTTTTTCTGAAAGCCCCAGCTCCTGGAGTCATGTGATTATGTGAGACTCTCAGCTTTCATTTTAAAAAAAAGTGAATTGCTAACCCTCATGGTTGAAGAGAAAACCTTGAAAATGTAGACCCTACAGGCTCCAGCACCAGAAAGTAAATAAGATGAACTTCACAGTTTTATTATTTTTAACAGGGCTTTGGAGCAGAGCCCAGAGCTGGAGCGCGGAGCAGCTCCGGAGCAGTGGTGCTGCAGGTTTTTGCTTGGAGCTTGCTCTGGAGCCGGAGCCCAGTTCCAAAGCCCTGACTTTTAAAATCTCCTTTTTTTGAAGGGGCCTGGCTCATGATTTTAGAATGCTTGGGCTTGGCAATACTGCTGTGAATATGGGAAACTGGGTCCGATACACTTATATTTCCCCAGTACATTACAACACCCACTCTGGCCCCTAAATAACCAAATGTAGGATGAATTTCAGGATAGCTAAGCTGTGGCCTAAAGCATTTGCAGCTTCTTCCAGAGGTTAATTTGACGTGGCAGTCGATTAGGAGGTAGTGATATTTAATTGTTAGAGCAGGGGGCGGAGGTCTGGTCCACACTATGTGGTTAGGTCAATGTAAGCTGCCATGCGTTGTGAAACTGTCTTCACTTAAACTTGGCTCCCATTGACATAAGTGCCTCTCTACACCGATTTAGTAACGCCCACCTCCCTGAGTGGTATAGAGTCACGGTCAATGTAATTAAGTCGACGCCGTGTCAGTGTAGACACTAGGGTGACCAGACAGCAAATGTGAAAAATCGGGACCGGGGATGGGGGGGTAATAAGAAAAAGACCCAAAAATCGGGACTGTCCCTATAAAATCGGGACATCTGGTCACCCTAGTAGACACTGCGTTGCTTATGTTGACTGTTGCTGGCTTTCCGGAGCCATCCCACAATGCCCCACCCTGACAATACAATCAATAGCAGCGCTCTTGGTGAGGGACATGCACTGCCAAACAAGGAGCCAAGCGTGCGCATACACAAGCGATTTAATAACTGCAGTGGCTGTGTGCCGACGTAAGTTAGGTCAACATAATTTTGTAGTGAAGACATGGCCTGGGAGTCAGGACTCCTGGGTTGTATTCCCACCTCTGCCACTGATTTACCATATATTTTAGGGAAAGTCACTTAACCTCTCCATTTTGCAGATTCCCCATCTGCAAAATGGAGCCTATGTGGGAAGAGTGTTTGTGTATGTGGCAAATGGCAATGCACCTTGGCTGGTTGTGCTGGGAAACCTCAAATTATAGACAGGGCTAGCTCTCTGGATCTTGTCCTGTACTGGTTGGCTGGCAGGTCACATCCTTCTCCCTTTTCCCTGCAAATCTGCTCTCCAGCCATGGATTGTCCTGTGGGGGTTAATCTGAGATCTGACCTTTTAATGACTATCAGAGTGACCAGGTCTGAGAGCTGCAATCACTGGAATGAATGTAATCAATATATCGGCACAACTACTGGTACGTAGACGACCTTCACCTTCCTTTAGCCATGGAACAGCCCCCAATTTCCAAAGTGCTCTCAGGGGACCGAATGCCTGACAGAGACGGGAGAATGGTATATTAGACTCCAGTTGGGCTGGAGAGAATTGCTTCGCCTTCAGCTGCTTGGGTTGTGGTTAACCGCATTTTCCATTGACAATCCCCTATCCCTCCCCAGATCATGTATTTTTGCCAATCATAGACATGTTGCAAATCTCCTCCTATCCAGCCCGATCTGGTTGGCAAGGAAGGCACCCCCAGCACAGAGAAACCTGAAGAGGGGCGTCCACGCTGCCCTCCGGGTAATGAGGCAAGAGACTCCCCCTCTGTGCGGGATTACATCAGCTCTTTCCCACCATATGGCATCCAATTTAATCAGCTGGGGCTGGGTTAAGTGGATTAGGCCACACAGGATCCTGCATCATAATTTAAAGGACCCTGTCAGCAATAATTGAACTAGAAAACAGGCAGTGTCTGGGGAGAGGTGTAAAGAGATTCTACAGCTCAGAGGCAGAAAACTGTCGTCTCTTCCCCCCCCACACCCATTTTTTTGGAAAGAGAGTGGGTAAAGGGCCAAGAGATGCAAGGCAGGAAAGAGGAGGATCATCTGCTCTGGTACTGACTCAACCCTACAGTCCTCCACCATCCAGGGACCCAACACAAATGCAGCCCACCAGCCGCAGTGCCATTGACCGTATTGCCTCGTCTGTAGTTCTTCTCAGATCTGAGTCTCCTCTCACCCACTTCACTTGGTCTCTTGATTGGCTCTTCCCTCCCACCAAGAGTTGTTGTGGGCACATGGATGTGCGTGGGCAGCCAGGGAGCTGGAGGCAGCTCCCTAATATCTTACTTCACATAGGTCCCAGCAGGACTCCGATGCCCCATTCCTTTTTTCTTAGCTGCTGAGACCTTGGAAACTGCTGCCTGTTTTATTTTTGCCCACAGATCATTCAGGGGGTGGTTAGAGTGTTACACAAGGATGTAGTTGTGTCCATCTCCTTGATTTAGCTGTTATACTGAAACCTACCTCCACTCCCCTTCTGCACACAGAGTGCGAGACAACTCACCCCTTCAGCAAGTGTGAATTATGGTGCAACAATCCAGATACAAACTAAGGCTATGTCTACACTACAAAGATAAGTCGACCTGTGCTAGGCCGACTTACAGCCACCGCATTAATTACCGCAGCGGCCGATGTCCACGTTACTCTCCTTCTGTCGGAGGTGTGTGTCCTCACCAGGAGCGCTTCCACCGACTGAAGAGGGGCAGTGTGAGGACTCAGAGCCAGGGCTCTCAGCTCCATGCACCTCCCCGCCAGGAGCCCAGCTGCCCCCCAGGCTTCTCACCTCAGCGCTCCCAGCCAGCAGTGGAGGGGAAGCGGCCCGGGGCTGCTTGCCTTTGGCGGGGAGATCTGCTCCGGGAGTCCAGTCAGCTGCTTGGCTCCCAGCAGGGAGTTAGAACCTCAAGGGCGGCAGGGCTCTAGGATAACCAGATGTCCTGATTTTATAGGGACAGTCCCAATATTTGGGGCTCTTTTTTATACGGGTTCCTATTACCCCCCCCACCCCGATTTTTCACACTTGCTACCTGGTCACCCTACAGGGCTCTGACTGGGGAGCCTGGGCAGCAGCCTAAACCTGGAGCCTGGGTGGCAACCTGGCTTGGAGCAGACACCAGGCAGCAGCCCTGGAGTTGGCTGGAGCCGTCAAGAATAACAGCCAACAGCCGATGTGAAGAACCCACCCTAACTACACCAACATCAGCCCAGCGCCTCTTGTTGAGGTGCTCTTATGTCGGCATAGCAGGGAAGTTGCATCGGCGGGAGGAGCATTTCAGACAAAAGCTGACTTTGGTTGACAAAACTGTGTAGTGTAGACAAGGCGTAAGGCTCTCTTGCCCTCGGTAATGGGCTCTGACATGGCCACTGCGGTTCACCCAGCACAGCTTCATTCTGCAGGGCCTCCTTTGGCCCCTACCAGAGACCTAGGATACAGCTACAGAGTTAAATAGGCATTGGTAGCCGAGGCTATTATGCAGATATAAGAGCCCCGGGAGGGAAGGTGTGCTTTGCTCTGGGGTTGGGAGATGCAGGAAGCTTATTGCAGATGCTGAGGGGTGCAGAGACGCTCTGGCACTAACAAGGATCAGGTTGTGTGGAGTGGCAGAGAGAAGGCCAGGGCTAGATGAGTGGAGGGACTGGGCAGGGGAGAAGGGCTCTGATTCTGAGGGGCCGCTAAGCTGAACTCAGGGCAGAAAAGAGGTAGCTCACTGCGGCCTTTTGAGTCTGCACCCCCTGGGATTCAGGAGGCAGCTGGGGAACATTCCAGTCTCCGGGATAAGTTAAAACTACTCCAAGGGTATTTCAGCAGCGCAGGACAGCTCTAGTCACGTGCTTAGGGTACCCCTACCCTGGGATCTGAAAGAGAGGGCAGTGTAGGGGTATTCTGCTGTCCTTATGCCTCATGGGGAAAACCCCCAGCGAGCCTCCTGCAGGCAGTGGGAGTCTTTCCACTGACTTCGATGGATGGTGGATCAGACTGTATGTCTGGGGCATTCCCAGGTGGCTCTTTCTGCCAGGGATCCGGGCATAGCCAAAGACACATTCATCGCCAGCATATAAGGGTTGCCATGAAATAGAATCGAACATCTCTTGGCCGCTCTGCTGCACCAGCCTGCACAGCGCAACCCCTGAGAGAGAGGGCACAAGGGTGACTTAATGCCACTGTTGCCCCCCACCCTCTGGGCTGAGTCTGTGGGACACGGGCTCCGGTGCAGAGGCCAACCCCGAGGGGTATTTTCCTTCACCATCTGACAAGACATTGGTTTGTTTGGGGGATGTGGGGGTCTGATGTTTGTTTTGCCTGCTCCCTGCTGCTAGAATTGTGATCCTTTTAACTGTGCAGGGCTCCTTATTAACATGGCCTTACGCAGGCGGATATGATCCTGTCATACGGAGCAGGCAGTTCTGATTTTTTTTTCTCTTTACATTTAGATAATTGAGCTATTTAGGGTACAAAAAACAGCCCCTGCACAAGCAGCGGGGCTAGTCACCTGCAATTCTAATGGAAGCCAAAGGGAGGAGCAGGTGCTTGGCAGCTTTAACCCCCCCCCCCACACACACACGGACCCTCCGCTGCTTGTTGTAATGAGCCAGATTCATCCATCATGGAATTATGCTGAAGTCTAACCATTGACAACAGGGATCAAAGGGCCAGCTCCTCAGCTGGTGTAAACTGGTGTCGCTCCACTGATTTAAGTGCACTCCTTGGTCTCCAGGTGGAGCGTAAGGCCCTATGACCTGGTATCGGCTTTCTCCCTGTGCCATGCGGCCACAGCTACAGTCAACTAGAGCGCCTGAGTTGGATCCCCTTGCTATAAGGGAGAGGGAACATCTGGCAGGGAGGGCTCTGGGACTCTGGAATTTGCTCCCCACCTCGGTCTGAAATAGGCCAAAGTTGGTGATTTTTTTTTTCCAGGCACGCTGTAAAAGGCATCTGCTTGAGAACATCTCTGGAGAAGGCTGAGGGTCTGCAACCTAGTTGCTGAAGATGGTAGTTGGCACAGATGATTTGAATGCCGCTGAGATTGAATTGAATTGTTAATTATACAGTAAGTACAAGGTTTGGGCGCCAAGAGCCTTGGAGAAGTGTCTTTATCATTTTACATCTAAATAAGTAGAACTACCCTGATTTACAGCAACTGGGGATCTGCCCCAGTGATTTTAATGGGGGTTGGTGCATTCGGGGCCCATTGCAATGAGGATCAGCTCCAGTGAGGCTTTGCATATTGTATTACCATGGTCGCTGCTCCACCACAGGCAATGCAGTGAGTCTGTACATTAAGAGCTTAGAGCTCTCAAGAAACCTTAACAATGGAACTCCCCAGAGTACAGCGAGACCAAGCTCCAGCTGATGGAAATCTGCAAGATGCTGAATAATCTGCAGTGTGTGTACTGGGGTGGATAAAGCTCTTGTAGGGGGAGGGTGATTCAGGTGCGCTCTCCCTGGGGAATTGCTTCTTAAATAGGTGTAATGTGTGGTGCAGTGTGACACATTTCAAAGCCAAAATAACTGAGGCAGGGATGGCAGGGACAGGTGGAGTAGTGCCAGGAGAGAGGGGCATGGCTTGACGTTCTGTTCCATGGCAACGTTTGAGGTTTTGAGATTTGGTTTAGTTTTGCGTTGGAATGACACCAAAACCTTTGGTGTCTGCAAAAATGAAATGTCTGGAGTTTTTTTGATCAAACCCAGGGCTGTTTGATTTGGGAAGGTGTGTGTGTGTGTGTGTGTGTGTGTGTCTGTCTGTCTGTCAGTCAGTCACCTGGCCTGTGGTGTATCAGATCCAGGATGAAGTCCTTGCTCTGCCTGACTTAGAGCAGAGTTTTTCATCCCAGATCACCGTATCTACCCGGCTGCATGCATGTGTGCACAGTCTTCCTCCTCCCCCCACCAACCAAAACCTCGTAGGACCTGATAAGTCTCTGCAAAATGGAAGTGTTCTGACCCGCTCTAGTCATTAAATCCACCAGAGGCAGAGCCAGCTCCCCCTGATTTCCCTCCTTCATCTCAAATGGGTTATAATGATCAGGAACAACCGTGATGCATATGGATGTCATTGCTGAGCTCATGAGATTTGCTGGGACTTTTTCTTTTGTCATTCCTTTTCTTTGTCCTTTCTTGGCCTCACTTGCTTGCCTCCCCAATACCCTGTTGTGTAGCCTCTGAGTTGGATTCCGCTATCCCCCAGCCTCTATGGCAGAGGCTGTTGGCAGTGGAAAATCTGTGGAGGGAGAGGTGGTGGTGGTGCATACCTGCTACAACCTCCCCTTTGCCAGGAGTGGGAGCCAGTGCAGCCCACACAGTGAGCAGTTGGCTGGGGTTGGAGCATGGCTTGGGCAGCTGGGGCAGGGGGCTGAATATAAGAACGGCCATGCTGGGTCAGACCAATGGTCCATCTAGCCCAATATCCTGTCTTCCAACAGTGGCCAATGCCAGGTGCTTCAGAGCCTGTGTGTGACAGGCTACAGTGAAGCCCCAGCCACAAACTAAGGCCTGGCCTACATCTAAAACTTGGGTTGTCCTAGCTCCTTCGCTCAGGGCTGTGAACAGTTCACCATCCTGGGAGACATCGGTAAGCTGGCCTATGCCCCCGGGGTGGATTTACGACAGCAATGGGAAAACCCCTTCTGTCGCTGTGCTGCTGTAGTGCGTGTAGTGCAGACAGACCCTAAGCTGCTATCCTCCACCCAGTGGAAAACCCCAACCGACCTTCCCCGGGCACAGGGGCAAGGCTGGCCCAGGGAAGTATAATTTGCACCTCACTGTGGCAGCTTGAGTGAATCTGCCCCCTCCAACTTTTCCAGCATCTGTTGCTCACTCTCTCTTGCAATCTAACCCTCCTTCTTTATATTCCTTCCTTCTTCCCCATCTCTCTCCTTTTGCTAATGGATAAGAGAAAGAGCTTCTTTTTTCCCTCCATTAGCTTCTCTTTCTTCTCTTCTACCCCATGGAGAAATTCCCCTCTGAATGGTCACAGGTGTAGACTTTCCTGGCAGGGGTCACTTTGGAACACTAACCTATCACAAGGATTTTCTCTCTCGCTTTGAGTGCCTGTGTACACACACGTATATAAACCCAGTGGGCCTAATCCTGCTCCTGCAGAAGGCACCCTGTGTTTTGGCACTGATTCCAATGGGAGCAGTGCCTTTCCGTGCCATTCTCCACCTCCTGTCTAAACAGCTGCTTTGTCACAGCCTCTCGCCTGTGTTTGTCTTTTAGGCACAGTGGTTTCAAAGTGGCTCAGCGATTGGTCACTTTGACTCTCCGTTATCGGGCACCTATCATAAACGGTTCATAAAGAAATAAAAAGTCTCAGCTGCCCGGGAGATAAGAGGATGCTGAAACTTTCCTGGGCAGTGTCCTCCTCCAGGCAGCTCTACAGTGAAAGGAGAAGCAGCTTCCCTAGCCAGATCAGCTGATAAGATTTGCCTCCGGTTGACAAATTCTTCAGGGAGAAGCACCTCCGTGTAAACTACTAAGGGTCCGTGTCGGAAGGTGGCCTGGCCTGGAGCATCTTCCTGTGGCAAGCTGCCATGTGACAAGTGCACCTGCCTTAGTGTCCCCCAAAATAGTCCGACAGTCTTTCTTAGGGCAAATGGCCCCTGTGCATATAAATCATAACAAAAGCCCTTCAGCCACATCCAGTATTCCCCAGCATCAAATACAGCCCTGTTGTCCCTCACCACACCACTGCTCTCCAGTGCAGCCGTGGCACCTCTCAGCGCTCCCCAGCACAGCCCCAACTCTGTCTGTCTTTTCCTGTCCCTGGACCAGCACAGCCCCCCCCCAGCCCCTCAAACTGGAGCGTAACCCTGCTCTTCCCAGTGGGAACCCCCACAACCGCTTTGCTGGGAGCATCCTTTCCAGGGGAATATCCCTCACCACACCACACCCCCCTCGGCTGGCCCTCTCATCGTTCCTATGGGTCCAGCTGTCCGTCCCCAGAGATGATGGAGGGTAAGCACCTCTGCTGCTCCCCTGCCTTTCGCCCTCTCCAGCCCTGGCTCATGGGCTTGGGGACGCCAGCCAGAAACCACTTTATGCCTCCCTCTGGGACGCCTACACTCCCCTGCTCTCTGGCAGCTCTCACCTGCCCTTCCTGACTGAACCAGTCTGCTCTGATTCCCTGACCTTCTGGCGCCCCCAAGTGCTGCCCCACCCTCTTAACTGGTCTAATGGAACCACCTGCTCTGGCACAGGGGAGCTGGACCGGCTTCATTTACTGGGGCCAGCCACCCGGTGACAGTCTGATTCTCCTCTCCTTTACGCTGGTGTAAGTCAGGAAGCCAATGGAGCTGCACCGGTTTTAAGAGATTCATGCCCCTAATGTTGTGCTCGTGCCTCTGGCTGTCTATGCAAGTGTCTTGTACATTCTTCCTTCCCTTCTACTTCTTATTACATTGATTTGATGTCTTTCAGTTCTTCCGGCTCTCCCGGGCCATCGCCACCAGCCCTATTGTCTTTGCCTTCCATTTCATCAGCAAGAGTTGGCTCCATGCCTCTGAGCAGCATTCTTGCGGGAGGGGACAATGGATGCAGAGCAGTTAGTGGCTGGCCTCTTGATGAGTTACCACGCTGATATCCATGCTATTCCAGCAGCAGTCTTTCAGATGTGGCAAGCTTGGAAGCCACCTACCTACCGACACTTCTGCCTCTGATTGCCCCGTGTGCTCTGCCATATGACGACGGTGTATAGAAAGAGTCGCTTTCTTTTAGCACTGAACAAAGAACTTAAACAGAAGAATAAGGAAAACAGAATTATCCCTACCTTACCTTCTCTCTCTGCTACACCAGAGAGCATCTGCCTATAATTTCCCCTAGTACCCCTCCTGCCTGGTTTCTTGCTTTAGTTTTAAAGAAACAGTACACACATCCTCACCACATTCTTGCCTGTCATTTATTTCCTTTGTTCTCTGTCTTTTCACAGCCACATATTCAATGTCTAGAAGTCCCATTAGTCCAAAGCTACAGTCAGTGGCCAGTAGAGGAAAAGATGATACAGGGGGTATATGGCCAGAATCTCCCGCTCTTTTGGCTGGGCTTGAGGGTCCCTTACTCACAGCTGAATCTGTGCCTCTCAACTCAGGCCATGCACAATCCTTCTAGCATAAGTTGTTTCCGGGGTAGGGAATAGGCTATAAAGCCATTTCCCTCTAGATCAATGCTTTTCAACCTTTTTTTATTTGTGGACCCCTAAACAATTTTGAATGGAGGTACATACACCTTTGGAAATCTTAGACATAGTCTGTGGACCCCACCTTTCCCCTCCCCCTGAGGTCTGTAGACCAGAGGTTGAAAACAACTGTTCTGTGATAACGACAACCTTTCGGAGACCCCTTAGACATAGTCTATGGCCTCCAACCACAGGTTGAAATCCACTGCTTTAGATTGTTAGTTCAAAAACAGCCTAGCAATTAGTATCAGCAAGTCATTATCAGCTGGAGGCGATTGAGTGACCTACATGAAATGAATTAGTGATCTCAGTCCAGTTCTTGGTGGACAAGCTGTGATGGATTTGGAGCTGCCTGTAATAATGTATGAATTGTATACGTTTGTCGGACTGTTGTAGCTGTGTTGGTCCCAGGATATTGGGAGACAAAGTGGGGGAGGTCGTAGCTTTTATTGGACCAACATCCGTTGGTGAAACAGACAAGCTTTTAAGCTACACAGAGCTCTTCCTCGGGTCAAGTCTGACTGTTGTAAGAAGGGGTTATAGTGTGAATACAAGGGGTTAATTCAAGAAGAGGTTGGCTGCACATATGCAGGAAAGAGGACGATGGCTTTAGATAGCCACCCATTTCCCTCTCTCCCTCCCCCCCACATTGCTAGAGCCAGCCATTTTGAAGTGTCACCTTTGACACCCTGCTGAGCTCAGTGGACCAGTTCATCAAGGGTGTGGGCAAGGGGTCCCTGATTGTAGGATCCAAGCCCCGGAAAATTGGGACAAAGGACTGTTTGGGGTAAAAAGTTCTCAATCAGGAAGGGGATGGTTGCTGATGACGAGTGGTTCTCAAACAGAAACCTGGGAAAAGTTTAGCCTACCTAAGACTCCAGGTAAGAGAGCTGTGTGAAGATCTTTAGTTGCTTTAAAAATCCTTTCCCCTTATGTTGTGCTGTGTTTCTACAGTTAAGATTAAACAATACTTCGTTTTGAGAGTGCTGTTTTGGGTCTCTGTATTCACTGTTGGTCACAGCTCCTAAGAGGAAGAACCAGAGGCGCCCAAGTCCAGTCACGTGTTGAGTAATCCTGATTGGTACATGCGTTACAGTAGTTAAGGACCCAATCTAGGAGCAGGAGGATCATGGGATTTCACCCTAAGAGCGATGAAAGCACAAGGCCAGAAACCTGAAGGGGTGCACTGAGACTGTAGAAGTGCAGCTAGCTCTGTAACCGTGAGACAAGCATCTACATAAGGAAAAATACTGTTCCCTCTTCTTCCAATATTATTGTCCCTTGTGGTGGCAGATGTCTGGGACTTGCTGTTTGGCTTCCCAGTCCTGGAACAGAGGTTGACACAAACAACATGCAGGCAATACCTTCTTTCAGGAGTCTCTGCCCAACACCAATGCCGAGGGAGCAGCTCTGCCTCAAGAACTAACTCTAACCAGAGCCCAAGGCAGAGAGCAAATTCCACTGTTGCTTGCACAAGCTCTACCTCCAAGGACCACTGCCTCTACAGAGACCCTTGAATAACTTCAAGCTAACAACAACCAAGCATGTCTTCCCAGGACTGAACATTTGCTTGCATACTTAGAAAAAGAACTTGGAAGACTATGTGTAACAGCACCACATGACACCTACGATAACAATATTGCCATAACTGGCAGAGAGAGGTCAGAGATGACTGAATGGGCCTGGAGACTGAACCCTCTCACTCCTAGGACGGGGCATGTTACCAGGGCTGTAGAGGGGAAGCTTGCACTGTTAGTGGCCATCCTGTACCCTGCAGATGAGATCCCTGACTGGTGCAAATCGATACAGCTTCACTGAAGTCAGTGGAAGTTTGCTGATTTATACCATTAGGGGATCTGACCTATTTCTTAGATAACACAGAGGAATTCAGTCTCTAGGGCTATCGTCCAGCACCTTTTACAAAAACTAAATTCACTTTAAAAAAAAACAAACAAACAGTTGCACTAGGTGCAAGGATCAGAACTTTGAGGCCCTGCGCTCTTTCTCCTTCAGAACATTTTCCAGGCAATGGGGTGCACGGATGAAAGAGCAAATATAACACCAGCTTCTGCAGCTAAGCCCGGCAGGTTGCTTGGGTTTGAGAAGAGACTGCGTATTGCTACTGCACGTCGCCTTAAAGCCCTGAGCTGTGTAGATTTTCTGAGTGTGTCTAAAGGGCAGCGCAGCTCTAGCAGAAAGATGCATTCCTTGCGGTCACAAAGCTGCATTAAGTCCCACTGGTCAGAAAGAAATGTATGCTTAGGGGCTTCCAAAGGGAGTTGGGGGAGCTTGCTTCCCCCTTCCCCTCCTCATTTAAAACTCTGGTAGCAATGGAGGCTGGTGGCCTCTGAAAGTGTGCAAGCAAGGTGTGCACAGCAGAACATGTTAAGCAGAACTGTCCTATTATATGCAAAGGGTCTGATCACTGATGAGAACTCAGCACTTAGCAGGATTGAGTCCCCATCTTAACACTAATATTTGTTAAATATTAATTAACTATTGTAATTAGAACTAGTTTTTCTGGGCTGGGTTGCCTTGTTTCTAACTTAGAGCCTGATCCCCGCCACCTCATGTGGAAAGTCAACCTGGAAGCTCCCGTCGCCTTAGTGGGAGCAAGATTGGGCCTTTTGCCTTCTCGCTCTGAGTGGTTCCCCCTCAGTCTGCCACACTGGATAAAATCCGTCTCCCTGTCACCAGCCAACTCTGTCTGGTACTGAGAAAAGTATGAAGAACCGAAGTCGTGTCCATGGGAGAATGGTACATCAGACTGACTGGGCTGTTTCTAAATGGTCAGTTGCTCTTAGGCTCTGACTTTCCTAGACCCAGTAATAATGTGGTCTGCTATGGCTGGAATGTCCTTTAGGATTCATACAGCAAATCCTCCAGGCACAGCCTAGCCAAGGAGAAATACCTCTGGTCAGCTGGGCTGGAGACGCAGAGAATCCATCTGGTTTTCCTCTCTCCTAATTCCTGCCTCCCACATCTGGAAATATGTGCCTGAATTTTAGCAGATGGTGTTGAAAGGAGCTTCTACGTGGGATTATGAAAGGAGATTCCTAAACAGATTCTACGTGGGGTCCTCCTACACCCCCTGCCCTGCCTTTTACAGCTGATTTGGGGATTTTTATACAGGGAACTTTTCAGATTCGAAGAATCTCAATTCTTCCCCAGCTGGGATGCAGAGCTAAATATGCTCCCTTTTCCACATCTTATCTGGCCATCCGGTCTGCTGTGCTGTGCTTGTTTTAAGCATCTGATTTTCAAGTGGCTCAGCAATTAGTCACTGAAAACTTTCCATTACCCAAAGACACATTCAATGTCACACTTATAAATAAATAAGAGAGATCCTGGGTCCTTCCAACTGTGCAGCTTTGGAGGAAACAACCACTGCAATCCAAGAGATCAGGTGATGCTTGTGACTTCTCTCCAAAGCTGTGCAGCCCGTGTTGTAGCATCAGGAGGGATGGAACTTGGGATGTCCTGGGCACCCCCAGTGCAGTGATTAGTTCGTTCCTGGAGTGGTAGTTGCAGCTTTATGGACCACCGTGTTTTAATGTAGATTATGATAGAAAACTGGGGGTTGAGTCTCCTAGGCACACCAGGCGCTGTGGTTGTTAGTTAATGCAGACTCTAATCCTACTACACATCCCACATGTTTTTGGGTCCATGGCAAAATATAGGGCCTGATTTTTAGAGGTGCTGAACACTTGTGACTTCACCTTCAACCCTGTAAGTCAACGGGAGCTGTGAGTGCTCAGCACCTTGTGTCATTTTCATTCTGAGTACACCTCTACCTTGATATAATGCTGTCCTTGGGAGCCAAAAAATCTTACTGCGTTATAGGTGAAACCGCATTATATCGAACTTGGTTTGATCTGCCGGAGTGCACAGCCCCGCCCCCCCGGAGCGTTGCTTTACCGCGTTATATCCAAATTCGTGTTATATCGGGTCGCGTTATATCAGGGTAGAGGTGTATGTAATGTAATAAGCAATACAAATGTCCAGGGGAGGAATAAGGCAGGATACTTAGGCCTGGAGATCTCAGGGATGTTGAAGCTGCAAGGCCCAGATTCTGCACTGTGGTGAGGCTGCTTTGCACCACACTACTGGTGCAGAATGGCATAGTCTGCAAACCTGGCCATGAGAGGATCGCACTAATGTAGGGGGATGTGGAGTGGCAGAGATCTCGCTTAGTGGTTTCTATGCTACCCCCCTCCCTGCTGCCAGCATGAAGATGTGTCTGAGGGAAAGGGATTATGACCAGGGCTTCCTTCAACTTCTCTCAACCCCCTCTATTGCTGTGTTAGCCCCTTGAAACTGTTAGCAGCTGGTATAACTTAGAGCAGCTTCCAGGCTGTTCTGATTGACAGTAGGGGGATCTGGCCCAGGAACAGGGGAGTGCAAATGTCACCTTTGCAGCCTTCTTCTTGAGCTGCACTGTGTGCTTTTTGGCTGGAGATCTGAGCGAATGACCAAGGAGTCCATTGGGGGAGATGCAGGACTCTGAGGACTAGGGAGAGGGATGACAGAGAGGAGGACTTGTTTGGGAGGTCCATAGAAGGAAGATGAAGGAACCCTGGGAGAGGAGTAGAAAGAGCTGTTGGATTCGGTGTCCACTTAGTTAGAATCCAAGTGCAATTTACTTTGAATGCGTTTGTTTGTTTTTAGTGCAAATGCTATTTTAATGAACGGAAAAGGTGTCCCTTATTCTCTCCAGGTTGGGTTTTCTAATTCCAGCTCATCCTCACTCTCTGGCGCTCTCTCAGCACGGACCTTCCATGGAGCATGAGGTCTCTTTAACCACATCATCCTTTTCCAGCTGCTAGGGAAAGGCTCATTGTCCCCTCTCTCTGTGACTTTACTGTCAATACACTCCTGTTTTATTCCTTTCTTAAAGTCACAAGACACCTGCCCCAATATACCGTTCCCCAGCCGATGGAAAATGATGCTGTAGCTAAACTGAGCTCATACTGCATGTATCCTCCTATGGAATGTCGTTTGTGTTAAGACAACGTGGAAGGAAGCATTGGTGGAATTGGAGAGGCACAACCCAGAAATCAGTAGCGTCATTTAAATTGTAGCAGAATAGTCCTTTTTTTTTTTTTTTTTTAAACCACACAGGCATCTCCAGAGACAAATCATAGGCGTGAAACAGTCCAATTAGATCCTCTGGTCCATCTCCCTGCTGGTGCTGGACTTTACCAGCTGTCAGATTTCAGGGCTGGAATTTGAATCTACACCTCTAGGGGAGATGGTGACCTTAGTACAGCCGCTTAGACCATTCTGCAGTGAAATCAGCTAAATCATGCATCAGAACTGTTTTGTCTGTGTATGAACGACACACATACTACAAGCTCCTTAGGGGTAGAGACTGAATCTTCTTATACGTTAGTACCCTCATGGCGCTTGGTGGATAATTAGCAATTACGAGGGTGCTTCAGAAAGAAAATGATTGGGGTTTTATTTTCTCTTAAAAAATAGATGATTTCAGCAACATTTTTAAAGTGCTGAGGGCTCCATAGGGCATATTGGGGAAAAAAGCAGGTGCTTGGAGTAGCGCTGGAGTTGTGATTCACGCTACACCCTTACCGGTACCCAAGTAGTTAATAAACATAAGCATCACAGAGCTCCCAGTTAAGCTGCTCATTGCTTAGCAAACAGTTTTGGGCATAAATATAATAAATATTTGATGACACTGCTAAATCATGATAAAGTCCCAGCAACCAACGGATTCATCCAAACCGCCTCCACTCTCCTGGTACTAGTTTGCCTTTCGCCCTCCCAGCCCTTGCCCAAATAAATGGTCTTGTAGCATATCCTTTTATCATCTCATTGTCTGCCAAGCACTGCCTTTTCTCTGTGACCCATGGGCCGCTGGCATTCTGATCCTCTTAGTAATGCATAACGCCTAATAATCTCACTCCGTCTTGAGTTATTCCCCCTCCACTCTGCCACCTCCTAAGAACTAACAGCACCATGACCGGCGTGTTGTCATTGAAGATTTGACCATACATTATTAGGCTGTAACAAAAATGCTGTAATAGCAGTGTCCTTATTGAAGAGCTTTGTGCATCATGCAGATTAATTACTGTTGTAATTACCCTGCAGTACCATTTCATTGATTTCAATTAAGGGCTTCTGTGACTCCCTTTCAGAGTTAGCTTAGATACAAATATTTGTATATAGCCCCCACTTGCATAGGAGACTGCAAACCCTTTAAATGAACATTGTTTTCTTCCATCCCCTAAAAACTGAGGGCTGGATTCTGATCTCAGTTATGTGGGTGTAAGTCTGGAATCAGTGGAGTTACTCTGGATTTACACCAGAGTGATGGAGATGTGAATCTGACCTGGTTTTAAGATACTTTTAGTGTTGTAAATATTTTACATTAGAAATGCTGACTCATGAAACGGAGGCCGTTACAAGGCTAAAATAAACAAGCCCCTCATTGTTCCAAGTTTCCTACATTAATTTTTGTTTTTTTGGTTTGCATCTCTGTTCCATAGCAGGGCCTAAGTCCCTTAGGAGCTATGGGAAGAAGCCCCCAACAAAGTGAATCCTGGATATTCAAGAACCCATAATATTTATTCAGTTGACTAGTCTGGGCCACCCAGGTCCCAGTTTAGTTCAGGCATCATATCTTGTGAAACAGGTTCTGCTATCCAGCAATATTTCTCTTCCAGCAGCTGAGAAAGCAGAGTTGGAAATTGACTGGAAGGGCTCTGTCTTCATTGTTAATTCCTCAGCCCCTTCCCTTCAGCTGAAGTTGTGAAAACTTTAGATCACAACACCATCTACTGTGGTTATGGCTGACTAGCAATACACATGCAGCTGGACAACCTTATCAACTATTTATTTACAGTTGACTGTTAA